GTAAATAAACACATAATGACTGAGACGTTGGGCACTTAAAGATGTCCAGTTAACTTCAGAACAGAATTATTTAGAATAAATAAAACTGTACTGAACTGAACTATGTTTGCATCTAACATTGTTAGAACAATGTCACAGCCTTCCTCTGCATGTGTAGCCACAACAAGGCAGTGAAACACGAGGTCAGTGGAAATAAGGATGGTAAGGACTGACAACACAGAGTAACTTTAGATGTAAAACATGGATCCAGACCGATATGCTTGTGCACATCCTGAGTCATCCAGATCATTGTGATTCTAGGAGCTTCGCTAAAAAGCAAGTAGACTTGAAACTGATGAAGTTCTAACTGATGGAGGACCTCAGATGCACATCAGCTGCTCATCATGAGCCACCCAGCTGTGCCACAGCTCTAGAGGCTGATCCGTGGCCCCAGCAGGGTCCCCCCAAAGGATCCCCTCACCTGCTCCACCCTGCCGCGGCTGATCCTCCTGTAGCCCTGGAGCCCGGAGCTCCGAGCGGCAGGAGACACGTCGTCCCGGGTGATCACATGTGCGAACCAGTAGAGCAGCGGGAGGCTCAGGCTGAGCAGGCAGAGGCCGCGGAACATCTGCAGGGGGTCGGGCGGAGACAAAGAGGGCGGTTTACGGCTGTGCACATCCGGACAAGTACTGAACATTTAGTAGTAAGTGAATACACACACTGAATAGTCTACATGACTGACCAGAGCTTTCATATCGAGGCCTTTAGGGAAGCCCCTCTCTCTCCACAGGACCCGTCGGCTCTCATTCTTCCAGCCGGATCAACTTGAGGCGACAAAGACGAGCCCAGCTATCGTCGAGTCACGCTCGTGCCAAGTTCCATTGCTTAAGATTTTATTGCTTCCTCGAGGTCAAGTCAAGATGTTTGTTCTTTTCGACGTAGCTTTGGGTTTCATCGCCCGGCGGACCACAGCTCCACTCTTCTGGTCTAATCTAAAGCATGCTTACATCAACTATTATGATAAACCCTGATCAGTTGTTTGTTGTTGTTGTTCCAGCCGCTATACCGACGCACACAGCAGCAGCCTACAGGTTCGGAGGACCTGCATTGTAAAGTTACACAGTGTTCCTCCGGGCACAACAACACTTCCTCACTGGGACTTTCACAACAAAAGCACTGAGACAGGGTTACCATATATATCTTACTTATATACTTATAAAACTTATATCTTCATTTTTATATGCTGTGTTTGCACTATTATTTTTATATGTGTATTTTATATGTGTGTTTTTTTCATGTTTGTACTATTTCTTACATGTACATTTTTCTTTCTAGTGTGTGTGTACTACAGCGCGTAATTTCTCCACTGTGAGATAAATACAGGCATATCTTATCTTATCTCATATACACAGAAAATGTTAGCACAAGAGACGTCAAAGCACTTATTATGATTTTGTATTTTAGCTTTAAAAAAGAAAAAAGAAAGTGCCCTGCCATTGTGTATTGATGTGAGCCATTTTTAGCAGCATAAATGAACTGCACAGTTACAGACTTCACAGTATTGTAGTAATTAGGATGCTGTATATTGATAGGTTAAATAATAAATATAATCAGAAATACAATTATTAATCAAATGGGAACTCTACACTAAAAACTGATGTTAGGATCATTCTGTAAATACACACAACTATAGCATCCAGTGGCATCCGAGGCTATAACCCAAAATTGTTTATGAATAACCCTGATTTGCTTTATTTCTGGCTTAGAAAATAGTCAGATCTCCTGCTCAGCACAAAAAAGGTAAAAGCAGCAAAAACACTTTCAAAGTGTAAAGAGGAAGTCAAGTGTCACTCATTATTCCATTACCATTGCTATTGATAATTCCCTTACTTTTTCTGTCTGCCAGACCCCTCATCCTCTATCAGACCACTTGATTCAATCCCCTTTTGTTCTCTTACCTGTTGTCATTGATTAGCAACTATATAGGTCACCAGAGCCCCCAATTCAATCACCTTTTGTTATTGTTCTCCTACCTCCTGTCATTGATTAGCAACTATATGCTAACTAACCACTATTCACTTTGGTATTTACATACAGCCCCTCCCTATAAAATGTGCAACTCTGCACTCTGGGTCGGCTTACTTTCACACACTCTGTGTTGGTATGCCCACCGTACACCAGAATACTAACAAACACCTCACCACATCAAACTTTGCATGAAGTCGATGGGTAAATTTCTTCAACAGCAGTATGCAACATAACAAACATAACAAGAAAATCTACACATAATAAAGTAAGTATCAAATAAATAAACTCTAAACCACAAACCAGTCTAAAACTAGCATAATGTCATACATTTACACAATACTATTACCGAGTGATGTGTACACCGAAAGGTAACAGCGCTTTTATTCTGAAAGAAAGATGTCAACACTAGAAACAGTCCTCTGTTTATTGTGGTTAACTTAACGTACCTGTGGAAGCTAATGCTGCCTTCATGTTCCACCTGTAAACTCACCTTTTCACTATATGAAGCCGTATACATTTATACAAAGCCATTTGTATATAAATATACTACACCCAATTCTTATTTAAGGCTATTTTAGATAAAGATTTGGAGTATTTGCTTGTAACAGTCGGACAATAATATACAAATATGTGTTTGTTAGATAAATATTAGTCCAAATGTAATGTCATGTTCAAGAATATCTAAAAAGCTTGTGTCAATTGTTATGTTCTTTGGCGTGCAAGCACTTAATATTTTATCCTACTTCGTCAATTGTGACAATTTTTTATGTACTCAATGCTGTTTTTATAACGTTATTATAAATGTACGCACCGTTAAAACTTTCTGACAGCTTCTAATTTTTGTCGGTATAGGGCGGGACGATAATCTAAGATCTGCAACCTGATTGGGTTGTAAAAACACTTTTCCCTCCTACATTTCATCCAATTGGTCAGTAAAAAAGTAACGCTATATGATCTTTGCCTGATTGGCTGTTGGTCACGCCAGTAATCTAGCAAACTTCCGCCTTGAGAAAAAAAATGTACTGTGCGGCTTTCACTGACTGTGACACGGGAACGTCCTTCCCTGACGCCTTGGATGCTCACGGTATGTACCTATGAGGGATTATGTTATTAGCTGCGCCTCTGGTGAGCTGTACACAGAGCTGGAGGCTGGGAGGTGTCGTTTCACAGCTCTGCCCTTAGTGTCCGGTTGACCGAGTGATGCTTTGATGTGAAATGACAGATCAGGCTGAGCTAGGCTAGCTCTGTAAGCTAGCTAACGTTAGCATGCTCGTGTCTGAGGGTTGGTGGTTGCTTGTTGAGGCTGAACTTGGCCTCTTTTTAACAAGAATTTCAAAGACAGATCTCAGACCTACTCTGGAGTTTACGGGAAAGCGAAAAAAAAAAATGGTGACAAGGTTAATTCCTGGCCTCAGCCTCCTGAGGCTAACTGCCTAGCTTTCTGCTCACCTTACAGTCAACTCTGCTTGAACTAGCACCCTCTTTATCATCAATTATTTGCCCTGTCTGACATGGACACCCGTAGATATTTCATTTGATAGTTTTGCTCCAAAGAGAAAGGAAAAATTGAGCCTGTTTGTCATGTTGCGAAAGGACCTGCAGTTTGTCATGTGCAGTAGCCCCACTGTCTGCATACCAGACAGTGTAGATAGGTAAGTAGCTGGCACATTGTCAAGTTGCCCTGCTGCTTAACACTTAATGCGAATTGGTTTCACCAGGTTAAAGCATGAACCTGCAAGTTAATTACATGCCTTGAGGGTATTTCACTGGGCGTTGGAATGATGAACGTGTCTAATGATGCCAGCTATAAAGAAGGAGGCTGCTCCTCTGATAATTTACAAATCTTGTGTCTTATCTATGGCAGGACAGTAAAACTGCAGTCAGCCAGCGGACCAGTGTGAAGCTCAGGAGTGGATGACTACAGACGGTCCATCAGCGAGCCCTGAGCTGGCTGATCTCAGAGCAGAGAGGAAACCTTATTTTGGGTGAATGTGAGGGAGCTTTGGAGAGGTGTTGCCTGAAGGCGTTTCGATTTCTGAGATGTCATTCAAACAAGCAGACGGGATGTCCATCGCCCAGGCTTTGGCCATGACTGTAGCGGAGATACCAGTCTTTCTCTACTCCACATTTGGGCAGGTAAACCGCTTTGAAAATTCATATAAGATTGTCCTCTGGTCTAGCTTTTAATATTACTACGGTGATTTTATAGATTAGCACATTCCATTAAAGACAACAGTGTTAAGCAGAGCTGCAACAATAATTGATTAGCCGTCAAAAAACTACTTTGATAATCAATTAATGAGTTTGAGTTTCTTGTTTTTTTAAAGGTATATTTTCTCAGATTCCAGCTTCTTAAATGTGAATATTTTTCTGATTTCTTTACTCCTATATGACAGCAAATTGAATATTGTTGGGTTGTAGGCAAAACAAGATGCTTTATGATATCATCTTGGGCTTAGGGAATCATTAGTTGACATTTTTCACCATTTCTGGCATTTGATAGACCAAGCAACTAATCAGTTAATCAAAAGAATGACTGAGAGATTAGAAAACATTGTCGGGATTAAAATTAATCATCAGTTGCAGCATTAGTGTAGAGTTACATCGAAGCCATCTAAGGCAGGAGGACATTATTATCATTTTAAAAAAATTAACTATTTAACTTTGATATATAGAGATACAACTTTAGAGGTTAAATCAGTGACAGGAGAGGGGCTTTAAATACTAATCGCTGTCTTGTGCAAATTTGCTCATTAAAAGTAGGCAAAATTCGTTGTATGTGAATATCTTTTCTACTGACAGCTCATGTTTGGTCATATCCTCACTGTCTCTACTCCTTTCAGTCCATATTTTCCCAGCTAAAGCTTACACCGAGCTTGAAGAAGGTGCTGTTCGCCACAGCGCTGGGCAGTGTAGCTCTGGCTCTCACTGCTCACCAGCTGAAAAGACGAGGGAGAAAGAGAAAGCAGGTAACACAAGGAAAGGAAGGTCAGAAAACAGTGGGGATACCTGAGGCGCTGCTGAAGACAGGAAGGCCTTCGTCATTAAAGAGAGGTGTGCATGACCGAATGCTGGAAATGTTTAAATCATGACTTTGTGGTGTGGTGTGTCGCATCTTTCAGTGTCTACTTAGATACATCCAGATATATTTATTATTTGTTTCTGTTTTGTTTTTTTCACTTCCACAGGTCAGTTTACTGGTCGACAGATGATGAGCCCCAGCACTCGGAGCAATGACACCATGAGTGGAATTTCTTCCTTGGCTCCCAGTAAACACTCCAGTTCCTCCCACAGCCTGACATCTGTTAGTTTCATCCTAATAGTTTTTCTTTCTTTTTTTTCTTGTTATGTGTGCTTGTTTTTTCCCTGATTATTCTTTGATGTGTCTTTCTGGCATAGATGCGAGTCCCCAGCTCCCCAAATCAATCTGCAAATCCGTCCACCCCCTGGGAGGCAGAGCCTGTGGTGGAAGAGTCAGGGGCCATGGAGGACGCTAATGCAGAGAATCTCTATATAATGGGTAGGTTTATTTATTTATTTTTTTAACCATCATTTATGTTTTTATAAAACCATAGTATGCATGCTGTGTGTGGAATTTGGACTATTGCATGAAATATTTTTGGTCAAAAGAAAGATAGACTCTGCTTAGCCATAAGTACTTTTTATTCCTAAATATCAGTGGACTGTAAAAACTAAATAATTAGTTTAGAGGACAGCTGTTAAAAAAATGAATGGTACAAGGGTTTGTACACATTGGCTTAGTAAATTCAGATCTTCATTTGGTTTGAATTACCCAAGCTCTTTGCATTTTGAGCATCTAAAAGCTACCTTTTATGTCTTTTCCCTATTTCATACTGACATTTAAGGGACAGTTCAGCCTCTTTAAAGTGAGGTTTTATGAGTTACGTATCCATAGTCAGTCATCTACTTGCGGTCAATGATGGTTAACATGCTCTTGGCTTGGAGAGGCAGACAGGAGTGCTAGTAGTGAAGGCTAAGCAGTGAACCGCTGTGGATGGGATCAGCAAGAATGTATTTTAGCCTTCCAAGAAAAAGGCATAAGTACAAAAAAAAAAAATCAATATTTAAGTGTTCACTATATTTAGAATATTTTCGCTTCACCTTCTTGTCAGATGGCTCTTTTCAATTGGGAGCTGAAGCTTTTATATCTGTTCATTCTCACATCAAAACAGCAAGCCTCACACTGACAAAACCAGTCTTTTACCTTAGCTTGGGTCCAGACTAAAGTGTTACAGAGCCCATGTTATACCTTTTAGGGTCTTCCCTGTCCTTTAGTGTGTCACATAACATTTTAATTTACCAGCTCACAAACAGGCAGTTTGTTTAAGTCTTATTCCTCTTTCCCTGCTAGGAATGGAGCTGTTTGAGGAAGCTCTGCGAAAGTGGGAACAGGCCTTGAACATACGCCATCCCACCAACTCGACCTCCAGCAGCAACAACAGCCTCGCTCTGCAGGGGGCAACGTGTGGAGACTTTCCCATGGTAACCGTCAAACCATCATTACAGGCTCACAGTGTTTGAATCTCTTGTGCACACTTGAAAATCAGACATGTTGTTGTTTTGTTATATAGCTGGAATTTTACAGACTGTAACTTTTGATGGTGCTGGTTTGCTCAAAGGTGACACAGAACTAATTATGTACAACTGAAAGAAATTAAACAGATCCTGATCTTAAGCTATTTTTTACATAATATTAAAGCCACATTTGACCTGTTTTATTCTTTTTTTGTTTTGGTTATAGGTTGAAGCTCGTAATAAAGTGTTTGCTGAGAAGTTAGAGACGCTGCTGCACAGGGCGTACCATCTACAGGAGGATTTTGGCAGCAGTATTCCAACAGAAAGTGTGCTGGCAGACTTTGGTAAGAGTTGATCTGTAGGTATCTGTGACCTTAGAATGCAACGGGGATTTTAGCGATCAAGAAGAATGACTTTAGATTCTAAGCTCAGAGTTTAGTGCTCTATCAGTACATACAGCTATGTGTACGTTTGTGCTTTATTTCTTGCGTTGGGAGTTAGTTTGTGTTGTTCCTTTTTGCAGAGAGTGAAGGGACTCTGATCTTGCCACAAGTGGAGAGTTTCCACAGACTGCAAGACGATGATGCAACTACCGTTACCTCTGATGACTCCTTCTTCTCGGCTGCAGAGGTGAGTCCCTTTCTGCTCCAAAAAGATCGGCAGAAAGCAAAAAAATCTGTATGTAGCAGCAGTACACACCTGAGTCTTGAAAACCTGAAAACACATTCACATTCTGCTCTTCTATATACAATAAAGGGCTCCTATAGAGTATGAAAAAGTAATTATGGAAGTTGTTAGACATTTCTAGGTTGGCATTAGTGTGGAAAAATGAGTACTTTAAATATTTGTGTTTACAGATCAGTAAAATACAAAAGTTCTAATTTCTAAGAATAACATTTTCATGGTATTTCCAGCTAGCAGCTAGCTAGCTAGCAAAATGTTTACCATTGAGGGAGAGATTGTGGGCCACAGTGAGCTTCAAGGCAAGACGTACGGCACATGAATTAATGTAAACTCCTACGCAGAGCTGTCTCTATGCCTGACCAGCAGTTTGAAAGAAAATGCAGCGATACCTTTGAATTTTATATATACATACATGGCATCCCAAATACTACATTATTGAGCTTGTCAGAACATTTATGAGTGATGCAGTGATTTAGTTATCATAAAAGTCAACGGACCGTCTTTTTTCTGTGTAAGGAAAACTGTTATTACTGTTCACATCCATTGTTTATTCCACTGACACAGTGAATAAACAAAGCTGCACAGAATTACTTATCTTCATTCGACTCATTTTCAGCTCTTATTTATAAAAGAGACTCAAAAAAGAGGGAGGAAACAAGAATAAAATAATGTTTATTCAATATGTTTCAGACTGTTTTAGCATTGCAGCTGACATACAAGCTGTGTACTGAATTTGTCTTGTTTTGGGGTTAAATAGTATGACTACTTCTCACAATTGTTGACAACATAATAGCAAGTATATTCAGAATGCAATGTTAACAGGTAGATTTCTATAATGAAACATTTAGTTGTTTGTACACAGATGTCAAATATTGTCTGAAAAATCTGCGAGGAGTCTGGAAAAAAATGGAATTTTCTTCTTGGACTGTGCACTGAGTTGTGTGTGTTTTGTATGTGCAGCTGTTTGATGCCATGTCTCTAGAGGAAGTCTATCGGCCACTGAAGCCGGCAGCCCTCTATGAAGAAGCCTCGTCTCTGGTCCAGGAGGGCAAAGTGGCCTTTAGGTCCCTGAGGTAACTGCCAAGTGTGATGTCTTTATCTAAACACTTGAATGTTCTTATTGTTATAACAGTGTATTAAATGACAGCACATAATCATGGGGTTACTCTGCAGCCCCCCTCAGCACAGTAGGCAACTTTTTCAACAAAACAAATTCTAATAAACTTACTGTATGCTACCTGTCAGCCCCAATAACAGAGAGTTCAGAACTAACTGTGGCTCAATAAGCAGCTTTTCTCCACTTTGGAGGCCAAAAACAGCTAAAGGGAGTAATTTGCTGAGATGGCTTATAATTGTTCGGCGGTCAGCAACGTGACTCCATGTGAATGCGATTTACTTTCTGGATGTGTAAATAGACAACTGTTTGCTACCATGCTTGCCATTTCAATTTTAAAAGGGAATAATATATGAGTGTTGTAATGTTGTTATGTCCTGCTGCCTCTAAGTGGTCGAAAATCAGCTTACACTCCTTCAAATTATACAACAGTGTAGAGAAGAATTAGGGTTTGTAGAGTTTCATAAGCTTTTCTCTTTTTCATTCTCTTCTCTTTTCTCCCAGGACTGAATTACTTGAATGTTACGGTGACCAAGACTTCCTTGCCAAGCTTCACTGTGTGAGACAAGCATTCCAGGTCAGTGTCAGCGCACAGGACTTACTGATGTGTCATCGTCTGGTCTGGTCAATTTCAGATTGTGATGACAACTCGTCTTTTTTTTGTTTTGTTTTGGTTTTTGGGAGTCTCTTATATGTTTTGAAATTTGCACTGTTGACAGTCTACTCCAACTGGTGCACTGCTACCTTGTATGGCACGTTATAACCAAGTATTATCAGCTGTAGTTGGCAAAAATGTTGACTCATTTGTAAACCAGGGAGGAAGCCACTCATTAAAGCACTGCTCTGCAGCTAGTCAAAAGCTCCACAGGGTGGCGTGTAATGGCACTCATTTTGGTTATAAATGAGCCTGAACTGGGTTCCTTTTCACAGACATTATCGTTCCTGTAAAACTTTTAAGGCCAGTTCATGCTTTCCACATCCGCAGGAATCCATAAGGGTCTGCCTGATGTAAATTTGGTCATCTACTTAAGTCCTTCCGAGTCTTTGCAGACCCGTCTGCAGATGTCTAAAATTTGTCTCGGTGCAGACTGTCCATGCTGCAAGTGCACTGAGTGCTGAGGCTTTAAATAATTGCTTGTTATGAGGAGAGCTTGTGGGATGTGATCCACCATCATCCTCACTTTTAGAATTCATCATTAACAAAGTTGTAATTTACTTTGTGGCTGCCAGACTTTGGAGATGCTTTGATTTGTAACTGCTAAGAAACAGTGGGAAGTTTTCCACAAATCCTTACGTCCGCCCAAAGTGCCCGACACACCTCAGGAAGAGTCATATTGATGTAGTGCTGTATCCTGTAAAAAAGAGCAAAGTCGCAGCCAACCTTTCAGAAACATCCACAGGTGGTCTGTGTGTTTTTTGTGTCCCGTCTGAGGAGCACCTTCTGTAGAACAGATAGAACCGAGTCTGTCTACTTTTAAAGTCTGCACACATGCCTGGGACTAATATGGATCTTGAATGGTCTGATCTCTAATGGACAGCTCTAAGTTCATCAGTACACATTGCATTAGAATTCTTCTCCACATGTGTCTCGAGTCTCTTCCGCTCTAAATGCTCATAACCACGTTTATTTTATCCATTTCAAAAGACGAACTGCCACAATCCTGCATGGGTCCAACTTAACTACCTCGCATCTGCCCACTTCCACATTGGTCAGTACCAGAACTGCTTTGTTGCCAAGTTCTGACCTGCCCCGGCTCTCTAGTCCCACAACCTGACCAACGATTTAACATATCGGCACCACAGTCACTTAATTTTAAGACTCCTCTGTCCAAATGTTGTTTTTTTTATATTCTTGAAGACATTGAATGAATTAGATAAGCAGTTTTGAAACAACATGCATTCAGACAATCAGGGCTTCAAATGGAACAAACCTAAGGATCCAATACTGTCAGCCTGCAGGGTGAGGCTCATCATTATTCTTATTCAGAATCAGTGTGTGGGTCAAGCATGTATGGCTGAATTACTTCAATATGACAACTGGCCATTGTGCGGCATAGAATAGTTTTACATTGTCTGAGCAGAGTCATAGCTGGTATGCAGGCATTGCAGCAAGCAGCGGAGGCGTGGTTTAGATAAAGGCAGAGGCTTTACAGATTGACTTTCTAAAGAAAACAACAGTGTAGATTTTAATCTAAGGCATGAAGGGACTGTTGTCATGAAAAACAGCTTCTAAAAATGTAACTTTGACACACAGAGATCATTTTTGAGGGGTTTAATCAATGACTAGAGAGGCACTTTAAAGTGCTCTATTTTTACTCCAGCCTTCAGCTAAATGAATGACTAATAATAGCCACAGATACCTGACTCAGTGCACGACTCTGCCAGATGTATTGATTTCACCAGCAGGAGGCACGTCAGTTAAGTCGGCAGTCCTTCACTGTGGATGAAGATATTTTTAAAGGTATACTGCTAAAAGAATGTGGCCATTTGTGGACCACATCCGAATGTAATCTGCGTGATCAGATGTTGGTGTGCTGTGGGTGCTTTCACACCTGTACTTAGAACTTGTGATCTTATCAATGCTCAGTGTAAGCAGGGCCCTAGATGAGCTGAAAACAGTGGGGAACATCTTAAGCTTTTGGATGATGCTACTCCTAACAGCTAAACCGTTTATGTCTGATTTCCAATTTTCCATTTTGCAGGTTATGAGTAACGTATGGAAGTGCAGTGATAGATGATGAATTGTGATGTTTGCAAGGAACAAAAATGTTGCCATTTGTCATGATAGAAGCAAATATCTTGTTCTCTTTCTGTGGACTCATCTCTGATCTCATACGCAATGAGAACCCTGCAGAAACCTTCAGACGACCCTTAGTGTGTAATATCGTGCCTCTGTGCAGGTGTAGTGTTTGCACCCACAGACAGCGAGTCAGGTTTCTATCCTAAAGTGACATCCAGACAAAAGCTAGAAGGCCAGCTCAACAGACAGCAGCTACAATCAGGACGAGTGACTCATAGTGTTTTTTACACATAAAAAAAAAAAAGACATTATCTGTGTTTGTCTGCACAGCTTTTGATTTTTAGCTTTCATCAGAATGGAAGCCCTTCTGATTTACAGCAGATGTGGACATTTGCAGAGCTGGAGTTGAAGGGAGCTGTTGAAGATGATTCACTGTTATGTTGGAGCTGAATGCCATTTTGAAGCATATTAAAGGCACTTAAGAATAGATAAGATGTGCCTTTATTAATACCAACCCTTTACAATTCAAATTAACACAACGTCACAAGGAAATGTATCAGAGTCAAAGCAATGAAATCTCCATATATTACCTATACATAAAATATAGGAAAAATAGGAATGCTAGCAATAAAATACATTGACATTGACATAATGTAGTTGGTATTTACACGTTAAATATCTGTGATATGACAAATAACCGTGAGTTGTTGTAAGTCTCAGTGGAGGTTGGATGATGCTGTGTTGCGGAGTCGAATGGTTGATGACACGAAAGAGCCTCTCGTGGGTTTTGAGGCACGTGACAGCATCAGTCTGTGGCCGAACGAGCTCATGAGACGCTTCAGACTCAACAGTAACTCAGGACTCTGAAGGAATCAAATCTCCATTTTTATAAACTAAAACAAATTACTAAGAATGTTACTATACACCAATAACACCTGTTTTTCTCCAGGTCCTGTTGTTAGATGAAACTCACCGCACGTTTTTCATGGAGACCGGGAAGCAAATGATCGCAGGGTTAATGGTGAAAGCAAACAAGGTAAAACACTCTTCACTGGGATCCTCAGTTATTAACTCATCCTATTTGGATAAACTTGACAGAGGTCTACTTTTGTTGGCATACTTACACTACTGCAACAACTCTATTTATTTATTTGCTTTCAGAGTCCCAAAGCATTCCTGGAGAGCTACGAGGACATGCTGCTTTACACCCAGAGAGAGGAGACGTGGCCCGTCACCAAGATGGAGCTGGAGGGCCGAGGGGTGAGTAATCTGAGTTAAGCTATCAAATCTCTTTTTTTAAAATTTAAATCTAGTTTTTCAGTTATTGCACCTGTTGTCATAAACACACATCGGTGTATTTTGTGTGCTGTTGTGAATTTGTTGACTTTGTCAGACCTGGTTATACAAGTCAGACCTGTGGGCGTACAGTTGGATATCGATGGTTTATTCATGGTAACGGTTGCAGGGCAGCTCAGGTTTATGTCACAGGGTGCTTTACTCAGTTTAAAGTTCATTCTTCAGGTCCTACTGTTGTTGGCTGTGTGTTTGGCAGCCTGGTAATAGTAATCTGTCTTCGTTTAACTGCAATATGTTTTAGATACTACAGGAAAAAAATAGATGTAGTGTTTTTTGTAAATGTATTGTATTTGAGTTGCCCATGAATGGCTTCAATGCCTTTTCTTCCTTGTGTTTTTTTTCTTCCTCATTTGTGTATTGGTTGTCTGTGTGGCATATAAAACAATCAGGGCAAATATAATAACGTAGATTAAACACACAGTGCACATGCGTTTATGCACCAGACATGACTCTGTACCTCGACATGTAGGTCTGATAGTAAATCAGTGCATGAATTAAACTTTTTAAATCATTCTTGCATTATTATTTGTCTTGTTGTTAGGTCCTACACTTAATAGCATTGTTAAAAAGTTTAGTTTTCTGATACAGCCCAGTTCTTTTATTGCTGTTTGATTTTAAAGTGTTACTGCGTTTACTGTATGTGCCTCAGCACCACTGAAAATGACAGTTTCCCTTCAATGTGCTCCCCAAGGTTTTAATATTTAACAAAAATATACACGCAGCACTTTTGTTTTTGCTCCTATTTTTCATGAGCTGATCTCAAAGATCTGTGCCTTTTTCTATGTACACAAAAGGCCCATTTCTCTCAAATATTATTATCAAATTTGTCTAAGTATGGCAGGACCTGGTGTGACCACCATTTGCCTCACGCAGTGCAAAACATCTCCTTTGCATAGAGTTGATCAGGTTGTTGATTGTGGCCTGTGGATTGTTGGTCCACTCCTCTTCAATGGCTGTGCGAAGTTGCTGGATATTGGCTGGAACTGGAACACGCTGTCATATACGCCGATTCAGAGCATCCCAAACATGCTCTTACATGTCCGGTGCGTACGCTGGCCATGCAAGAGCTGGGATGTTTTCAGCTTCCAGGAATTGTGTACAGATCCTTGCAACATGGGGCCGTGCATTATCATACTGCAACATGAGGTGATGGTCGTGGATGAACGGCACAACAATGGGCCTCAGGATCTCTGTGCATTCAGAATGCCATCAATAAAATGCACTTGTGTTCGCTGTCCATGTCATATGCCTGCCCATGCCATAGCCCCACTGCCACCATGGGCCACTCGATTCACAACGTTGACATCAGCAAACCGTCACCCACACGACGCCATACACAGCGTCTGCCATTTGCCCTGTACAGTGAAAACCGGGATTCATCTGTGAAGAGAACAACTCTCCAAAGTGCCAGACGCCGTCAAATGTGAGCATTTGCCCACTCAAGTTGGTTACGACAATGAACTGCGGTCAGGTCGAGACCCTGATGAGGATGACGAGCACAAAGATGAGCTTCCCTGAGACGGTTTCTGACAGTTTGTGCAGAAATTCTTTGGTTATGCAAACCGATGGTTGCAGCAGCTGTCCAGGTGGCTGGTCTCAGACGATCTTGGAGGTGAAGATGCTGGATGTGGAGGTCCTGGGCTGGTGTGGTTACACGTGATCTGCTGTTGTGAGGCCGGTTGAAAAGCCTTTGAAGACGGCTTATGGTAGAGAAATGAACATTCAATTCACAGGCAACAGCTCTGGTGGACTTTCCTGCAGTCAGCATGCCAAATGCACGCTCCCTCAAGACTTGCGACATCCGTGGCGTTGTGCTGTGGATTAAACTTCACATTTTACAGTGGCCTTTTATTGTGGCCAACCGAAGGCACGCCTGTGAAATAATCATGTTGTTTAATCTGCATCTTGATATGCCACACCTGTGAGGTGGATGGATTGTCTCGGCAAAGGAGAAGTGCTCATTAACACAGATTTAGACAAGTTTGTGAACAATATTTGAGAGAAATAGGCCTTTTGTGTATGTAGAAAAAGTCTCAGATCTTTGAGTTCAGCTCATGAAAAATGAGAGCAAAAACAAAAGTGTTGTTTCTATTTTTGTTCAGTGTACATGAATGAATGATAGTATACATGTGTACAGGAAGTGTAATGTGACAAGTAAATCCACTAAATAGCCATTCAGTGCTCATATTGTCTTTGATTAAGTCACTGTTTTTGTTTCGTGAAATCATTAAGTTCTAATTGACTGTAAGTTCCTCACCTTTGCTGCTACGTTTCTTGGCACAATACCACCACCAACTGTTCATCGATGGTATAGTGTGAAAGCTTTGGCAGGATGCAAATGCTTCTGTATGCACGTGCTAAATAAAGTCAGAACAGAGGAAGCACCACAAGTGGTAAAAAATTTCACAAGGTGCTTTTTAGTAAACTTCAAGTAAATTTCATGATTTCTTGTTCAACTGTTGATCGATTTTTAATTCTATCAATTCCTTTTTATTCCCCCAGTCCACAGCAGTACAGCAGTGCTAAGACAATTTAATGCATATTAGTATCTTTAGACTAAATGTAAACACTGATCCGTGTGGGTCTTCGTGTCATGATCTCTTCAGGTGGTGTGTATGAACTTTTTCGACATTGTGTTGGACTTCATCCTGATGGACGCGTTTGAAGACCTGGAGAGCCCTCCCTCCTCCGTGGTAGCTGTGTTGAGGAACCGCTGGCTCTCTGACAGCTTCAAAGAGACGGTTAATTTATACACATGCACATCCAAACTCTGTACTCCACCAACACGTTGTAAGCTATTTCTGTAATAACTGAGTTGTGTTTTTCTGGTAGGCTTTGGCAACTGCTTGCTGGTCTGTCCTGAAAGCGAAAAGGCGACTTCTTATGGTGAGTTTGAGCCCGTTTGAAGTTCTGTGTGTTTATTCCTTTAATTCAGTCAGTGTGTTTGATTCTGACACACTGTTCTCTTACTACACTTCATAGGTTCCTGATGGGTTCATCTCCCACTTCTATGCCATATCTGAACACGTGAGCCCGGTTTTAGCGTTTGGGTTTTTGGGACCCAGGCAGCATCTAAGTGAAGTTTGCACGATTTTCAAGGTAAGAGTATACAGAAATAAAATGTAATTTAACAGCTTTGGAGACCAAGTTTGTGAATGTTATGTTATTTAAAGGGGCACTCCACAGATTTTACATCTGGCATTTAGTTTAGTTGTCGTGTGGAGTAATATACGGCCTGAATATACATTGTTATACATATAGTGTCCTCTGTGGCTCTGGAGGAAGCTTATTAACAAAATAGCTAAATTAGATAACCCTGATGATGTCAAAGTGCTTTAGTCAGCATTATGTTAATTTTAGCTTAAGGCTTTAGATCTTTAACAAATATCAAGTTATGTGATGAGATGTATGCGGTGTGATGAGAGCGTTCAGCAAAAACCATACTTGAAGCAGTGACCTTGTGCAGCAGTACACTGCTCCCAGTGCTCCTGCCACACTTGGGATGCTCTCTTAAAGTGTCGTTCTGTAAGCTTTCCAGCTACCATTTGTGACAAACTCTAGTTCTCCTCCTCTATGTCAAAACAGAAACCCTTTATGGTTTTCATGTTAGGGAAGAGAAACGATTGATAAGGAGGACAATCTGATGAGTACGATAGGCAGATAATTACAGTTGTGTTGGTGCAGCCAAAGAAACAGGCCCTTTGTCATGACGGAGCACCCAGTTTCCCTCATGCCACCTTTTACTTTAGAACGTTACAGTAAAAAAACAGCATTGAGTTTCACCCTTGTAGATAAATTCACGGTGCCCAAAACCAAGAGTGTTTGGTCTCTGGGTTGAAGCTGGTGGCCTAACTCTTGCCATCAGAGACAATCCTTAACAGTTAGACTGGATCATCCCAGGCCAACAGTTGAAACTGCAAACGCGCACTAGCCAGTGGTTACAAAATTGTGTAACACAGGTCCCGATATTGATCGCATGGTTTCATGTGGAATCCTGACTCATGACTGTTCCTGCTTGCAGCTGTTACATTTGCATGACCCTACGACACAAACAGAAGCTAAACTTGAAGAGTTCATTTGCAGCAACAGATAACTCCGTCTTCACAAACCTTCAGAAAACCCACTTTTCCATCGTCTACAATATCAATCAAACTTTTGTTATCTCTGTTTTTATCATGTCATTTCTACTGAGTCAAATCCACTGAACTTCAGTTTGATATTATCTCAAGAAAACAAACAAACAAAAAGTTTTCTGAAAATCTGCAAAAATGGAGTTATCTGTTTTTGCAAATGAACTCTTCACTTCTTGACCACACCTTGTATACAGTATATGTGAATGAACTTAATATTAGAGACGTAACAAAAGTGAAGTAAAGGTTTTTCACAAAGTGGAGAGTCTTGAAGAAGTCACATCAAAAAAAGATTAGTAAAAATCATACCTGGATTCCACATTTCTCATTGTACAACTCAATCACATCTCTCATTAGCCGTAGCCTTTGATAGACGGGATTCCTCCAGTTGGTTAACGTGACTTTTCTTTTATAATGTGTGAGCGTTTCCTCAGGCTAATAGTAGTAATACCAGGACAGGTAAACGTACCTTTGGGGATGAACAATTAATCGATTTCAAATCAAAATCGCAGTTTGAAACGGTCCAATTGTACTGCAAATTGTACAGACAGCAATTTAGAACATAGGCGTCCCATCCAGCTTTTAAACTGTCATCTCAATGCTTTTACAAAGTCATGCCGTCCTCCTTGTGTGACAGTCACATTTTATTAGGTATGTCATGTTGTGTTGTTCCATCACATTTACACCGTGAATATCTAACTGAGGATTGGCTTTAGAAATTGTGTTGTGAGTCAAATTGCTTCCAGCCCTGTTTGCCTTCATGTATAAAATCAGTGGGGGACACCTGTTAAGTTAGTGTGACATTGTTGCATGTGTAGCAGGTCCTGTCATTCACATCTCTCCCTTTACTCACAGCAACAAATCGTGCAGTACCTTAAGGATATGTTTGATCACGACAAGGTCCGCTTCACTTCTGCTCAATGCCTGGCGGAGGATATCCTGAAGCTTTCCCACCGCCGCAGTGAAATTTTATTGGGGTACCTGGGAATCGACAGCCTTCTGGAGCTCAATGGTGCCCTGCCCAGGGAAATAGAGGGCTCTTCAGGAAACATCTAAGATGATTGGGGTCACTAAGAGTTTCACTGGGCTTGTGCAGGCCGACAGCAGTGGGCTGACAAGCGGGAACAGCAAAGGAGTCGCAGCTCAACACTTAATCTGTTTCTGCGTTAGGACTGGACTGATTCATGCTGCTGTGACACACTGAGAACCAGCATTATTCATTTATTCATCTGTGTTCATTAAACACAAGCTCTGTAATACGATATAGCCACCAGATCTACAGTATCACTGGTCCTTGTGCTAACGACGGAGACCGTTTGGAGGACTCCACGTCTCCCTTGTGTTGCTGCTTTGATGCGTATCAAGAATGCCGACTGCAGTCATGTAATCACAGATGTGTGAGGACTTGTCTCTGCCTTGTTGGGTGACATGGACGCTTCTTAGAAACACACCTGACAGACGCACTTCGAACACACGAAGACTGGGCCTTCTACACAATTGCTTCACATGGATCAAGTCTTCTCCGAGATCTGCGTTCATCACCCGTGAAATCGGGTGGAATATCTTCGTTATGTGAAAACCAACGGCGTGAGAGTCCGTACTGTGTGTTTCTATGTTTTATATTAAAAAGGAGGAGGATACTTGCGAACACAGTGATGGTTTACGAGAACTCTGACCAACTGAAGGGTGGTGCTGCGTGATACAAGATGTGATGAATCTCCTCGTTTGTCCTTAAATTCTCTTTAATCCCTTGAAGTGTTTTTTGTTTTTTTTGTCACTTCGGTTGAGTCAAGCAGACTAAGATGTGACATATCCAAGAGTTAAATGCAAAAACACATCATGTAAAAGTGAAAACGTGTTATTCATACAGTCAGAGTGGACGCAGCATTTGATTCTAAGTTCCAGTTTGTGGCAGTGTATGAATGTTACCAGATTTAAATTGCATAAAACAAAAAAAAAGCTTCCACTTCCAATAACAGAGTACTAGATGTGAAAACATCTGTCTGAATAAGATAACATAAAGAATTATTGTGGAAGATGTTACAGAAAGCAAATGTCTTGAACAGTGTGGCACTGCAGTACACCTGAGTGCTCTCAGGGAGTCAGAAGTGAGTTGAAATCAATACTGCAGTACTTTTCCAAATACTGACAATTAGTTTGTTCATCAGCAGGTTGAGCTGCTTGATTTGCTTCCAAATGTTTGGGCTAAAATTGTACAACCTGTTGATCTTTAGTTCACTGATTAAAATTTTAAATCGAGACTGAAATGTTTTAAGCAAACGTAAACAAACAAAAGTTATAGAAAGATATCAATTTGTGTTTCAAGCGTAAATTCTTTTGAAGGATACTGACTGTACATGAATACAGGATATGTGGATTATTAGTGGTTTTCACTCAGTCGCAGCAGACATGTTTGACTTGTTGTAGCAGGAAAAGCACATGTAGCAGAGGTTTACTTCTATTCAAGTGTCTCGTTTAAGGTGGACGATGCGATTTGAATCCATCTGTCAAATTCAAGGGAAATTTCCCCTCATGATATGCTCAGTGTTGGTCATATGTATGGTCTGATGTAAAAAAAAAAAAAAAAGTCTGTGTGCAGCGCTGCCTCTGTAAATGAGAAACAAAGGAAGCAGCTTTCACACATTATTCCAACTGTGCACGTTTGTGCTTGTGTGCAAGATTGGAAAAAATTTGCAGTGTGAGCGGGAGGGACAATAAATCTGGCGACTATTTACTTATGCCAGCTGAATAGCAACAATCTCTCTCCAGAATCACAGACTCTGTCTTTAAGCTGTGAAAGTGAACCAACATGCACAATAAACCCCACAGCAGCTGTTTGAACTTGGCAAAGTGAGAAAAAAAAAAAGCACATGTGGTCTTATTAACATTGATGTTATTCAGGCTTCTGGGCCCAGGTGTTGTGCATGCTCACACACTGGCACTTGAAATGGTGCTCTTGTTAGTGTTACACCTGTATTTTCCTACTGTGACAAGTCAATGTGTCTTCACTGAGGAAGGAGTTTCTGGATGGAACATGGTGCACACATTCAGAGACTTAGTGGAAACAAAAAAAAACAGTAAAACACAATTTCAGTGTTAGAGCTCATTACAATCACACATTTTCCATCATCGCTGTATTAAAACTTAGCGTGTCTCTATAGTTACCTCCTCTGTCAATCGTCCCATTTTAAAACTGACTTAAAACAGTGCCATGTAGTAGTCTTAGCAAAGACGTTTCTGATTTCCTGAAGAACAGGGCATTGTACAGTTAGACTGTAATCGACTTAAGTGCACTGATGATAACCCCTGGGTTCTCTTTGTTTTCTCAAAACTGTGAATTTGTTGGAAGACAGACACTCTGAAGGGGCGCTAAGATGCCAAGTTAAACTGACTTATCCTTCTCAATGCCACTAGTGTACAGGCAGATTGTAGTTTCAGAAAACTGTCAAAAACTAAATTATCTTCACGAAATAGAATGAAAAGATTATTTATTCTTAATGGCATTGGAAGCACAGTGTGTATGCTTGTGGTTGTCTGTGTGTGTGTGTGTGGGAGGGAGTTCCTGTCTGATCATTTTGTATTTCATAGCTCTTGGGGTGTTTTAATCTCAGTAATCGATCATACGGATTAACAGAAGTCTGCTCTATGTTATTCATATTCATATAAGCGTGTGTTTTTGTGGCATTTATAATCCAAATCATGCTGTCGTTTCAACATGCCTCTCAAATTCAGAGATCAGTTTTGCTTTTGTGGGATTTTTTTTGGCTCTTTTAACTGCACTGGCGGCGCGAAGAGGCATTACTGTTGGATTATTTCTGTTTAAAATGAACCAGAACTGTACATAGACACAGAGCTTTTACAGAAAACCTTGTGGTTCCATGTTCTGACGGATGTGCAGCTTTGTGATTTTTAAGCATTTCGCACTTTAGCAGAAAGAAGATACAAGAATGTCCAACATCCCTTTTTATTAATCAGTTTGAGAGTTCAGATGTACAAACTGTTGAATTATTTATTGCGTCATTTATTATTGATAATATAGAGCGTAAATGCTGTACAGTAGAGAAATTATCTTTCCCAAAAATCAAACTATATTATGCAAATGGTTTATTCTGGTTACTATCATAAGGTTTAGTTGAAACTTTCATCTTTAAATTGTTGATTTAAATTCTTCCAGTTCTCCATTTGTAGCTGTGTGTGCTCTGATCCCTGATGAATTGCTTTAAGAACCTCTTCTCCCCTGTTTAGTCCTGTTATTGTATGAGTATGTGTCATGCAGGTAAATGCAGCTATGAAAAAAAAACGCTTCCGTTTAGTCTTGTGTTCACAGATTGGTCTGCTGTGTCTGTGTTCTCAGAGTAGATGAACTGCCTTTGCATGTCAACAGTGTAGATTCTCTGATATGCATCAGTGCAACATGCAACATGTAGACCCAGGCTCAGCCCTAGTTGTTGTAAGTTTAAAAAAAAAAAAGATCCCAATTAGAAGTAAGCTAAGAAAATATTTAAGAAGTTATAATCATCTGAAGGATCAAATTCAAGCATGGACTCTCCCACTTAGCGTATAATCAAATACATTATAGAGTTTAACAAAGAGTTATGATGGCCAAAATGTGGAACGTTGTTTTTTTGTTTGTTTTGAAAGTCACTGCTGTTCATTACATTACAAGTGTCCTATTCATGCCTTTTGTCTTTTCTATCGTTAAACTGCATTGCCAGCACAAACTGTAAATTGATTTTAATTCTCCATATTAAATGTTATTTTTTGTTAATAAATCAATATGTTCATTATGATTTTTTATTATTTTCCTCCAAACTAATCACACTGTGTATATTTTATTATCCACCAAGAATCAAACGTCTTAATACAGAGACTGAATAGTTACTTTAGTACAGATATAGATATATGACTAAAAAGCACTGGTTTAATTTAATTTTTATAAGATAAGGTTGGCTAAATATTCAGTCAGTGATGTGAGATTGTCAAGAGGACGGAAACACAAAGGTGTAAATCACAACTTTCATCACGATACAAAACTGATTGAGTCATACAGTCTTCACCAATATCATGAGGCTGGGGGCCAATATGAGATAATAACATTTGTCTGTCTAGCAAAGTCAATTACATTTATATAAACTCAAAAAAGCAACTAAAATATGATTTGGCTTTCATTTCTTCCACAAATTTAAAAAAAATAATAAAATAAAATAAAAAATTATGCAAAAAAAAGAAGAAAACATAGTCCTGTTGTTGACAATAAACGTCTTCATTTAGATTGTTTAATCACTTATTAGGAAGACATGACACAGACTGATTTTTTTTCACTTTGCATTGATCGTATTGGAACATTGGTCATGAATCAATATATCAGTACACATGGTTGATCATTGCACTCGTCAAAAAAAAACACTTCAGCCCTTAATACAAAAATCTTATCATTAAAAACAACTTTATTCTGAGTGTAGCTGGAAAAAGTGAAGCTACAGATCATCAATCATCTGTCGTGTAAAATCTGTCCTCAGACAGTTGTTCTTATTGTCCTTTGAAGCACATTATTGAGCATTTTATTTTATTTTATTGTATTTTATTTTATTTATTTATTTTACAAACAATCCTGGTTCCTGAGCTACAACTTGTCTAGTGCTGCCATCATTTTAAAAAGTGTCTACAACACCAAATGATAATTCCATCAGCTTTAGCTTACCATCCATCCATCCATCCATCCATCCATCCATCCATCCATCCATCTTTCCATATTTTCTGATATTAAAAAAAAAATCATGCAAATCAAAGATTGTTGAGCAAAAGATTTTGATGATTTGAGATGGAATGACCCAATAGTGAAGCCTCTGAGTGAACTGCATCCAGTAATTACTATTTTTCTGGTATTTTCTTTTTTTTAATAGAACAGTTTCTCAGGTTTTTGTTCCCACACAGATGCTTTTGAACAGTGCACCCACCCCACATTCAACCAAGCAGTTATAACCAACCAGAAAATGTTAACATGGGATTTGTAGCAATTCAGGCAATTCAAAGATTTTGTACGATTGTCATTAGAAAGTGTACGGATAGTATAAAAATGCATGTTCCTTCTGAAAGTGGGAAATACAACACAAAAGGCTGGAAGGACACAGAGTGACGTCTCTGGTCGGTAGATGTCCTGAGCTGAACAACGACACTTAGTCTTACATGTACTTACCTTATAAATTATAAATGATAGTTATCCATTGGGCTTCGTCAATAATTTAGAAAGCACAACTTTAACAAAACATACTAGACTTTGAACCAGTTGAGGGTTACATAAAAAAAGTTAACGTCCTGCCTGTGAGCTCTCATATTTTCGACACGACAGTCTTGTCTGCATAAGACTGAGTGACCAGGAAAACGACTATTTGGCCAGAAGAGATTTGCTAAAAGAAAATAGAGTTAACAAGATATCCTGCCACAATGATGTTATTAGTGATTTTAGTCTGGCTCCAATATGGCACAGCTGTAGGCTTGGCTGCACTGGTAAAAACAGTTTAAAATTTGCTAACTGTCATTAATTCTTTGCCTTTTTAAAGCTACAAAGCTCATAGAAAAGCAGCCAGTGAAGGAGACAGAGCTCTGTAGTGATTCAATAATAGGCCAGTGGAGGGAGCACAGGTCTTACTGTAAGCTTGCTGAAAAGGTTTAGAAACCTTCTTCTACCATTCGACAGACATTTCACTCTGAGATAATAAACTTTCTCCTCTTTTAGATAAATAACTAAGAAGTAAATGCAGTCAAAGTATCAAGGTAAAACAGGACATGCTCAATACACTCAGTGAATCATCACTGCTCTGACACAGGTTGTGTTTTAAGCTCTCATTGTTACTTTATTTCCTTGAAAATAAGTCATTTTATTACAATTTTCTTGGAAAACATCAGATTTTAGATGGACAAAGGCGTTAAAACTCTGGCTCATGTATCATTGTTCCATAACAGTGACCTTGTTGCATCACATTTTAGTCCGACGCATCAGCTCGGCTACATTTGTTGGACGGCACACACAGTTCTGTAAATGTTACACACCTCTCTTCTCTGTGCTCCCACTGCTGCATTGCTTTAATCATATTTTTCTGGCCTGAGTTTGCCGTCGTAAGAAAACCGACTTTGTGCTTGCTCAGGTTTTTGCTGTTTACTTTGTGTGTCCTGTTTTTTTTCTGCGTGTTAATAATGACTGACTTTCTGAGTTGTGAGTTTTTCTGCTGTGTGTGTGTCGACTGTGTCTCTTTGCATGAGCAACCTTCAGATGACTTTTTTATCGGTTATATTTGTTAGTAACAGTTAACACGCTGTATCAACAGGAACTTGGTGTCACAAGATCCACACAAAAACACATCAGAATGTTTTAGTCTTTGAATTCTGGGCTGTGACCTGTTTGTTCTTCATGGTGGTTAATAAGAACTTTTAAACTCATTTTTAAACAAGCTGTAACAGAAATTGGATCAAGTTACTTTTAAACGTTTGGTAACTTGTCTCTCTAAATTTAGGCTTACACATTCACTAATTACCAAATATTAATCAGGAGCTATTGATGAAAAGGGTGGTAAGTAATTGATAATCATTAACGTTAATTAACCTAATTTAATCATGGAGTGGTCATAGCGTTGTTTTCTTTTTTGTTATTATTTTATTATTTTTTATTTTTTTGAATGAATGCACTTAGTTGCTTTAATGTGGAGTGCTGGACTTTTGTGTTTTTTGTTCATTCAATAATTCTTCTCTATGGGCTGAATGTCTCCTGTGCGGGGGGCTGCTGGGATTGGACGGCTGCTCCGCCGCCGGGGCCCATTTGAACACGGAGCTCCGCTCACCATTGGTCGGACACGTGTCTGGGGCGTTTCACTGGGACTGCCCGGTTGTGTCCGGGTAAGATGGCGTTGGAAGAGCAGTGCTCGGCACCACCTCGATGGCGGTCCATATCTCTAACACACGTAGAGTTCCCGGAGGGTACGTACGCTCGACACATTTCTTTCACTGCTGAAGCTTCGCTAACCGCCGGCCGCTTTGTAATTATCGAGCTGTGCGTCTGTTTTGTTGCTACTGAATGGACACGGTCGTCGGTGCTGCTGCCAGATTGTGAGCCGTTTGTAAAACCCCGAGCACAGGGGAATGTAACCCGGACTGCGAAATTGTGAGACAGCGCCGCATGCGCAGTTTGTAATAATGTCCACAATGAAGGCTAGCTAGCCTGCTAGCTGTTTTAATATCGGCTTTGGTATTTTCTCCCGGGAATTATGCCGTGACCTGTAAGAATTATTTGACAAAATTCAAGCATTCTGAAGAGCAAAACATAATTTCTGACTGTGGTGGAAGTAATTAGCTATTTCCCCGTATAGCCTTGTAGCCAGGGCTATGGCTAACGTAGTAGCTAGCTCCATGGCCTGATAATGATTAGTGTCACTCGCATAAACCACCTCGCAGTGAGCTGTCTTAATTAACAAGAGAAAACAATGTGGGTTGTTAGTTTAAAGATGGCTTAGCTGCTCCGCCATAGCAGCTTCCTACTTGTACTCTTAACCATCCGGGTTCACTGAGCCTCAGAGTGTCACTCCCACCACTGCTATAAGTCACTTTAACAGTGTTTGTGTATTAACACCAGCACTGTGTCTTTTGTTCTAGATGATCTGACGGGACAAGTGCTGGCTTACATCAGTCTCCTGCCCATAGCAGTACTTGTGGGTTTTGTCACACTTATAGTGTTTAAACGGGAACTGCACACGGTGAGTCCTGCACATGTTCTTGTGAGTTTTGTTTTCAGACTTTAAAGTGAGTCTGTGCAGCTCGTTGTTGTGTCTCAGGAGTCTGAACAGCTGGTCAGACAGGACAGCAGTGAGTAAGCACTCATGTGTTGACCTGTTTGTTTTTTTTTTCCCCCTTACAGATTTCCTTCTTCGGTGGTCTTATCCTGAACGAAGGAGTGAACTGGCTGCTAAAGAACATTCTCAGAGAGCCGCGCCCATGTGCAGGTGAGTGACGGAGCGAGTTGTTGTCTGTGTGTGTCGTTGGCAGGGTTGGGCAACGGTGCAAAAACATGACAATAGCCAAAGTGTCTTCCTCTGGTATCCGGCACAGAACATTGCAACTTCAGTTGTATAATTTATCTTCATCTCACTGGGTTGTGTTACAGCAAGAAGCTGGCATTCCTGTAGACTGCAAACAGGGTTATCTATGTGAATAGTGTTACTCTGCCTAAAGCTGTAGCTACTAATGCTGAACAATTTGGGGAAAAAACCTTCTATTTAAGTTTTTTGTTTGATTTGCAATATATATATATATTTAAGTTTTAGTTCAGTATTCACTTTGTATTAGATTTCAAACGTGTAATAAAGACTTATCACATGAGATACCATCAAAAGTGTCACATAGGGCTGGTTGATACAACTGAAAAGTCTATTGAGATAAAATGTTAGTATTCAGTCAATATAATAATGAATAATTGTTCATAATCTTGACATGACCTACTTTTAAAAAGACCTGGAAAAAAAGGGGTTAATTTTAAATTCAACCACCTTACTTTGAATTTAACCACTTAAGCCTGTTTATCAAGGTACACAGACAATAATGTTAACAACACAACAGTGCAAAACATACACAGATACATACAACTATGCACATTCATAAGCATGAATAAGAATAAAGGAATCATCTCACCTTGATGCACGTTAGAATACAGCAAACAAGTAAAACATGAAGGTGCAGAGTGAAGCTGCTGCACGGCCCTGAGGTTAGGTTTTAAGCAGCTGGTGTGAACTAGGTAACACTG